TAGGAAGCATTGTGAGAAAGGCCCATTGTCCTCACAAGAAAAGGGGAGACGGGCGTGAATGGCGTTGTCACGCTTCTTCATAATTTTTTATTCACTAAGAGGCTGTTTGGATACCTAAAAATATATTACAAGGAAATAGATTACTACAAAAAATGCAAATGAAACTCAAGATATAAAATGAGAAAGAGAGATGAAAATAGGGATATTCAAGTACGAAAAAACTTGCAATACTTTTTCACCCATATATATATATATATATATATATATATATCTTTTATCTCCCAGCCATCTAATTAGAATGGATGGATGTGATTATTTAAGCTACAATGTCACAAGTCCAATATTATTATTTTTTTGAAACTTTGTGTCCATTCAATGACATTCTTACAACCACCCATTTTGAAATTTAAAGGACAAAAATAATTGTGATATCTACATACAAAAGATAAATGGTATCTTTGTAATCAATCTCATTTTGAAAATATAAAATGAAAAAACTTTATAAAAAGGTTGTGACCTTCTACTATTCTAGTAAGCTCCACCTCAAAATTCCTCTAGAAGAGAATGTTTGGAAAGTTAGAGAACCTTCTAATTGATCATGAGGACTTCAGGATATATGGTACAAACAAAAAATATTTCAAGCTATAAAAAATAGTATATCTTATAACAAGTTTGTGAAAAATCTATTTTCAAGACTTACAAGTTTTTAGATATATGCTCAGTCTATACCATTATTGAAATTTTAAATTTCATAGCAAGATATGAAAATAGATTTTCAAGCCATCATAAGCTTTCTAATGTTGGAACTACATCTACATGCAAAATTTAGATGTGCACCTTACTTCTATGATATAAGGAGGGCACCTTATACAATCCTCACCCATATAAAAAAAATTAAAAATTTAACGAGTTTCATCTAGTTGTTTGAATTATAAAAACAAGTTGGTCCGACAAGCTAAAACCAATTAAACGTTCATTTTGACTAGTTTTCAATTGAACTTAATTTTTACTTTGGACCAGATTGCCTAAAACATCGATCGATGATCGGATCACTGGTTCGGTACTCCGCATAACTATATAGACGATGACAAACTTCCAATGTCAACATCATCGGGCGTAGGTGATGTAAACGTTATGTAAGAAACTTCACTACACTTCACTACATTTATTAAATACAGTTCCAGTTTAGGGAATTTGATATTTTGTAGTGTTACAAGTACGTTGGACTTTGAATAAGGTAGGAAACATTTTGGGAAAGGCCAATTTTCCTCATAATAAAAGGGGAGATGGGCATGAGTGGCGTTGTCACGCTTCTTCATAATTTTTTATTCACAAAGAGGCTGTTTGGATACCTGAAAATATATTACAGGGAAATAGATTACTAGAGAAAATACAAATGAAACTCAAGATATGAAATGAGAAAGAGAGATAAAAATGGGGATATTCAAGTAAGGGAAAACTTACAATACATTTTCACCCAT